AGCATGGGGTAGTCTATAGTACAGACTGGGAGAATAAAGTGTGGATAGAGCATGGGGTAGTCTATAGTACAGACTGGGAGAATAAAGTGTGGATAAGAGCATGAGGTAGTCTATAGTACAGACTGTGGGAGAATAAAGTGTGGATAGAGCATGGGGTAGTCTATAGTCCAGACTGTGAGAGAATAAAGTGTGGATAAGAGCATGGGGTAGTCTATAGTCCAGACTGTGAGAGAATAAAGTGTGGATAGAGCATGGGGTAGTCTATAGTACAGACTGTGAGAATAAAGTGTGGATAAGAGCATGGGGTAGTCTATAGTACAGACTGTGGGAGAATAAAGTGACACCTTTGAAAGGCAAATTTGGAAACTGCTACTGACATTTACAATAACATTTACATTTACTACAACCCACAACTCCCCCCCCTCGGAGTTTCCTCAGAGGACATGTGTAAGAAATGAAATTAGTATGAGGATATCACATCTAGTGAAGTGTGAGAATGCCACATGTAGTCACACACACACACAGACACACACATACACACACACACACAACAAAACAAAACAAAAACTGGTGGTAATGTTAGTGTCCTTTAGAGAAGATGGAAACATTTATGGTATATTTGAATAAAGGGGACTTTCCAGCCACTTAAGAGACTGATGTGGACCTTGAATACCAATAAGGATGGAGGTCTCAATTTTTTGCAGAACAAAAGCAAAGTGTCCAACAGCAGGTGAATTGAATTACAATTCTGTACAAGTAAGATGTAGCTAGAGACAGACATGTATGCTACAAGCAGCCACACATCGGTTCTGGAAGGATGCAAAGAAACTTGACAGTGGTTCCCTCCTCAAGGAGGGGCACAGGGGACTTTTACATTATACTTCATATTTGAACTTTTATTCCTGAGTAAATGTTACTTCTCAATTAAAAAAAAAAAAAACAAACAACTGTGGGGCCGAGGAGTTGGCTCTAGGTGGGGACCTAAGTTTGATTCCAACTGCCCATATAAACCCAGGGTTTTATGCATACTTGCCCGAAAGTCTAGCTCAATCTTTCAGTTTCAGGTTCAAATGAGAGATTCTGATTCAGATGTTCAGGCGGCAACTGACTAAGACAGATACCCGACATTGATGGTTTTCACACCCAAGCTCAGACGCCTGTATAGACACAAAATATACCCACTCATCTCCCAGACCCTGAGTTGTAAAAAACACCCTGGAAACAAGTCTAGTATAGCTACAGGGCAGACTGGATTGAATGCTATTTACCAAAAACTTGGACTTCAATCCAGCAAGGTGGCTTACACTGTAAACCCAGCACCTGGGAGGCCTGCCTGGGGCCACTTAGCAGGGCCTAACAAAATAAACCGGGACTTTTCTCCTAGACCAATGGGGACAATGCTATGTTCTAATGGGGGCATGATATGTTTAGCTTGATTTTAATCCATGTCACTGCTAAGTACTGGAGTGGAGGGATTAGGAAGACTGGAGAGGGTGGGGTGGATGGGACCTGGAAGCAGAAACGGTAAGAATAACGGAGAACAAACGGAGTTGGATACAAGGAGTGACAGCAGGTGACTTTCAATGCCAGCGTTCCTTGGAACGAACCCCTGGGCCCAACTACCTCAGTCCCAGGATGAAGCATTTAAAATGCAGGCACACGAGCCCTATCTCAAGGGCCTTCCACGAAAGGGGATGCGGGGGGCGTTGTTCCTGCGATCGGCCACTTTAAAGGAGCCATACTAAAACGGGAGACCGTTCCCTCCCTGGGGACTCCTGCTGGACAGTTCCAAAGAACCCAGAACAGAGGCCCCTCCCTCGGCCAAGCCTCGGGGGCCGCCTCACCTGGTCGCACACCACCACGTCGAATTCCTCGCCGGAGAGAAACAGCACGTAGAGCGCCAGAAACACCATGCGCACGTAGGCGCAGATGGCGGCGCCGCGGCCGCCCCAGCCCAGGCTGCGGGGCAGCCAGTCCCCGGCGCAGTGCACCGAGAGCTCGCGGGTCTCCAAGAAGCAGTGGTTCGGGTTGTAGTGCGCGGTCCATATCTTCACATCACACCCGCAATCCTGCAGCGCCAGCGCCGCGTCCAGCACGAGCCGTTCGGCACCGCCCACGCCCATGTCCGGGTGCAGGAACAGCACCGATGGGGGGTACACCCGGGCCCGGGCTCGGCACAGGTTTTCGGCCATGGCAGACCAGCCGCGCCTGCTCCCTTCGCGCGAGCTTCTGCAATCTCCGCCCCTGGCCCGGCGAGCCACTGATCGCCGACCCAGCCCTGTTACGCGTGCGTCACTTTAGGCCACATCAGCGGCAAACTTGTGGGTGCTAAGAAAATGCCTGACTAAATTTCTCTCGTGAACGTGTCTGAGGCTTTTTATTTGGTGATATTGGTCCATGTGAAAGACGCTGAGGCCAAATGAAAGAAGCTAAAGGCCTGGACTTTGCCATACGGCCCATTTGTTCTCAGGCAGTTTTTACAGGCATATCCTTGGACAGCTCAGGCGTCCAGAGCCTGCGAAGACCCTGCCAGCCGGCTGGGGGCGGTGCCAGAGTCTGTCTCCGCTAGTGCTCCGAGTGCTCGGCAACTTCCCGACTTTCCTCTTCTGCGCTTCCTGTGCCCGCTGCTCTCCGGTATCAGCATGGTGAGCGGTTCCCCGCTTCTTCACAGCGAGCTGGCCCTTGCCTTGGTCTCCCTCCCTTTCCGGAACCTCCCTGCTTTTCCCAGCTTCCCGGGTGGGTGCGGGGTCGGGGGGGGTCTGACAAGGGCCGGCGATGCTCACAGTCTTGCTTCTCTCTGCAGCCCGGTCCGACGCCCAGTGGCACCAACGTGGGCTCCTCAGGGCGCTCTCCCAGCAAAGCGGTGGCCGCGCGGGCGGCGGGATCCACGGTCCGGCAGAGGTAAGGGTCCCGGGGGCGGCCCCGCTGCAGGGTGGCAGAGGTCAGGGTCCCAGGAATTCACACTGCGGGATAAAGTTCCGGGATGGGAAGATTGACAGGGGCTGGTGAGCCCGAGCTGACGTGGCCATCCAGTAGTTCAAGGCCCTTTTCCTTGAGAGGCGTCGTTTTCCTCTCCTTGATGAATTGCACGCACCACTTTAGTTAAAGGGAAGTTAAATTAGACTAGGGTCGCTAACAACTTTGGGAAAGGCGATGGTGTAAGGCTGGTGCCTCTGGGGCTTTACCTTTCAGACTTTCATCAGGAGCTCCAATACACACTCACTTTAACAAAATTTGCTTTACACAACAACCTGTCACCTAGTTCCTCATTCCCAGTTGTTTCTGTGTTTTTCTTTTTGGATGTGTGTGTGTGTGTGTGTGTGTGTGTGTGTGTGTGTGTTGTATGCACATGTGTGTATATGTACATCTTGTTCTTGCCTGGTGCCATTGGAGGTCAGAAGAGCACATCAGATCATCTGGAACTGCAGTTATGAATGACTGTGAGCCACCATGTGAGTGCTGGGGACCGATTTGGGGTCCTTTGCAGGAGCAACAAGTACACTTAACTCTGAGCCATTTCTCCAGTTTCAGGGTCTCCTTATTTTTAAATGTCACTGCTGTACACTTATTTACAGAAAACCAGGAACTCCAGGTTTTGTTTTTTTTTTTTTAGTATTTCTTGTCTTCTCTATCCAGTCATATGCCAGGCTTCAATGGAAGACCTTCTTGTTACTTCTCTTCCTCCATTTCTGTCGATCCAGCTTAGCCCTCAACCTCTTGTACTTTGCATTTCCACCACTGTCCATCCTCCAGCCTGCTGTTACTCTTCCTCTTGGGTTCTCTAAAAATTTCTGGTGCCAGCATGTTAAAAGAGGAGCCTGTGGAGGAACCCTGGGGCTCTCCTTCCTCTCTCCTGTGATCCAGCAGTTCTGAACTTACTAATATTTTCTGAGCTCCATAGCCTCATTAGGTCTGCTCTCTTCTCAACTGTTTATTTAGTGTCTTTTTAGACAGTGTCACGTAGCTCAGGCTTGAACTCATAACCATCCTGTCTTCACCTCCCAGGTGCTAGGATTCTCGTATTAATAGTATAAAACTATTTGTTTACATGTTCGACTCCTCTGCTTTGACAGAGAATCTGCCCAAGTCCCCAGTTCCTGTCTTAAATCATGCCATAGCAAATGTTAACTGAAGGAATCAAGTCAACCCTATTGTTGTCATTTTGGAACACCTAGAAAGGCATTTTTCTAGAGAGGAGTAGACCTTGAAAACTTGAAGGAGTACTTTAAAACTGTCCTTAAGAATGTGAAGAGGGGCCGGGCAGTGGTGGTGCACGCCTTTAATGCCAGCACTCGGGAGGCAGAGGCAGGCGGATCTTTGTGAGTTCGACAAAGTTCGCCTTGTCCACAGAGCGATATCCAGGAAAGGCTCAAAGCTACACAGAGAAACCCTGTCTCAACAAACAAAACAACAACAACAAAATGTGGAGAGGAAGGCTTGGGGACACAGTGTGTATAGCTCAGTAGTGGAGAGCTTGCCTAGCATGTGCAAGGCCCTGGACTTGCTCTCTAGTACCACACACACAACACAGCACAAACTACAACAAAAAACGACAGGAAGGACTTTCTTGTTGACTGTGTAGGGGAATCTAAATCTACGCAGTCAGTTTAGACTAGTTGATTTGAACACGTGCGCAGCAGATTGCGGCTCAGAGAAGGAAGTTGTGATAGAACTGTCCGAAACGATGAGATGATTCTGAATGACTGACTGCAAGTGTTCCGTCACTAAGATACCCAAAGGAAGTGTACTGGCTTCCAATGTGGGTTGTATGGCCTGGGGCCTCGGGTGCCAGCTGGGGCTTCAGAGACTCTTTGTGCTAGTCTTGTAGGTATGGATAGTTCTTTGGGGATAAGTTTTTTGTTCAAGAGGAATTAATAGGGAAGTTTGGCCATATGAGAGTTTTTAAGGAACCAGAAGGCACCTGTTTATCGAATTGTCGAAGTGTGATAAGTAAAAATGAGGCAATCAGTGCATAAGTGATTTTTAAGGTTATAGACATGGATGGTGTCTTTTAGGATCTAGTATTGTGGGACCAGTGAAATTAGGCAGTCTGTGGCTATATGTATGGAGAGACTACAAAATTCATTCTAGAGACTTGTTTCTGGTTAGATAATTGTAATCGCTGTTGGCTGTCTAAGAATATGTCCATTCTTTGAGAAGAAGTTGAAGTTTATAGTTAGTGATGCTTTGGACTATGTAGTGGGCATTTTGTATCTCTCTCTGAATGAAGTAAGAGTAGTAGTAATCCTCAGAGAAGAAGTGTGTAAGATTTAGGGTTAAGCTGGAGTTGGAGTCCTTGGTCTGCATACGACAGTGGAAAGTGAAGCTGCTACAAGGATGAGCAGGAGCGATGACACTTTAGAGAGCACAAAGTAAGAAGTGTTCCTGCAGAAGTAATGGAGATTAGAGATACTAAGACGGTGGGATAATTAGGGAAATGAAGACAGTCTTCAAATAATAACTAGAAGTCTGTCACATATCAAGCCTTGCTTTACCTTGGAGAATGTACTTGTAAAAAAGATAGCCAGGGCTTGTCTGCGTTCTGTGAGCTTTTTCCCAATGAGGGAGGCCATAAATAACCAAATAAATAGGTCATGTAATTTCAAGTGATAGAGGCAATAACTGAAGGAAGCTGGGGGAGGTGAGGAGAGAGTGCGGGTGGATAGTTTGGATGGGATGTTCAGGGTGAATGGCACATGAATAGAGACCCGTGAGGGAGCTAGTGACACTGGGGACTAGGGAGGGCAGGCTGTCTAGACAAAAGGAGCAGTCAGTGTACGATAGGTCAGTGAGCCGGGGTTGCTCCACAAGTGCCAGCAGCCAGAGCAGTAGAGCAAAGCATGCACAGATTGGGGTGAAGAGCGCTTTGTTCAAGTGCAGCAGGAAGGTGCAGCCTCCACTGAAGAGAAGCCATTAGGGTGGGCTCTGCTAGGCACCTCAGTAGTTTCCCAGATGAGGTAATGAGGGGCATGGTGAGTGCAGTTTGCTACCTCTGTGGACCCTGGTTTTCAGATCTTCTTCTCTGCCCCATTGCCAGCAGCGGAAGTAAAAACAACAACAACATCAACAACAGATCCCTACTGATTCCTCTAGGGATCAGTAATTCCAGCTTTGAAGACAGCTGTATTCAGGGGTTGTGCAGATCGTGGCAAGTGTGTGGTTGTGGTTGTGGCTAGGGGGGTAACTTCCCTTGAGGACACTGGGGTTATCTTTGGGCTCAACTCCCTTGTTAGAGATGGAGAGTCCAGGTCGCCACCCCCCAGATGGAGCCATGCCTGCTTGGAGAAGCTTTCTAAGCATGAGTTACTCTGCAAACCCTGTACATCCTGTTTGATATTTTCGGTCAGTGTTCCTACAGAAGCAGTCATACACAGATTTGTCTGTTTCCAGGCTACGGTAGCCCATAACTAACGTATCTGAAATGTCATTCTCCAGCAGAGTAGACCCACATCATTGGTACTGACTGCCTTCAGAGTTCGGTCATGGGCACAATTAAAGCCAGACTGGAACCAAGGCTCTATTCCACTCACGCGGTAGGGTGAGCTCCTTTAGCTGTAGACAGGATTTCTGCATTCAGAATGTCCTGCCAAGACCATGTTGGGGTGAGGTAGCTTTCGGACTGATTGAGAGTCAGCAGCCCGCACACAGGAGTGAGGTTTTAAGGGAGGGAGTATTGGGATTTGGTGGGGCAGGGCGTTCATTCTCCGTTCTTTTCTCACCCCCGACACTTTTGGAATAATGATAAATGGCTGAAAGGATTTCTTTCGGATTCTCTTCTTGCCACTTGCTGCCCGGGCCCATGCTTTGCCACCTTAGCACAGGGCTGGACAATGCCCCCTGCTCCCAGGAGGATAGTTGCTAGGAGTCGGGGCCTGGGCCTGAGTGTCCATGTCTTTTGTCTGTTCTGTCTGCCATGATGGCTCCATGCACCAGCTCCATCCTTTTGAAAAGGACAAGGTCTAGTTACATATTTTCTGCTTTTCACATCCTGCCCTTCTCCAGGACCGATGGCCAGTATATCAAAATAGCTCAAGTACATTTCAAAGTACTCATTTATCATGTGCATTCTCTGTTTGGAGGACCTTGATATAATTAAAATTTATTGCCTTTTCTTACTTTTTGCAGCCAACACAGTTATTTTAAGTCTTTTAAGTTATTTTAAGCCATCTTTTAGTCTTTTCAAAATGAAGTTACAGATTAAGGGCATTTATTATTATTTATTATTAATAGGGGTTTATTACTTAGTTTCACAGACAGT